TTTTGCAAATCTTAGCCTTTCTCTTACGTAGCAGATCTCATTTCTTTAACGATAGTCTCCTGCAATTATTAAATAGTAATTAATTAAAATATATGAAATTATATATTGTAAGACTTTTTATAATAAAAAAATTACTTTAAAATAATTTAACTAATACCTCATCAGTTTCATATAGCTAGCGAAATGTCATCTGCATTTTTCAATTCGTCAATTTCACTTTTAAGCACAATCTTGCTATTGGAGATATATTTCTTGTTCTTTGAATCGCATGTGGAAAATTTTGGTGGAATAATAGTGAAATTTTGGAAATTATTTTTAAATTTAATTGTCTTTATTACCTCAGCCAGAATTTCCTTATATCAATTGCAATCAACATTGTAATATTCATGATAGTGGTAAGTAAAGCTTCACTTATACATTAAAAATATAAAAATAATTAAATTATCACACAAAAACTATTGAAAGCATGCAAATTACATATAGCAATATACATAGTTTCAAATTTACCTCCCCAAGGGCGAGCCCTAAATCGTTGCATGATTAATACCCATGGCTGACCGGGTGCAACTTCTTGATAGTGTTGCTCAAAGCCAAAATTCGTCGTAATGACCCCAAAGCGTGGAAGTTATAGCAATGTCAATGTAATTAGGCCATAATTATAAAATAGCATGTGGTTTATATATATATTTTCTTAAAAATTTTGTTGTAGTTAGACAAAAAGAAATAAAAAATGAATGCATAAAAGCAAAATTAAAAAAGATAAATGCGTGCATCAAATTGGCCTACCGCGACACATTCCGCTGTAAGGGGGAGTCCAAGATACCGAAAGGGCATGGACCTCTAAAGGTGCGTGTGTTGAAGGATGCAAGCCTGATTCGAGCTGTCCACACCAGTCAAGTATATGTTGGATTTCTGAATGTTCATTCTAGCCCCCAAAGTCTTTCAAGCAATTCATGAGGATTTGTAATTATTAATTAAAGTAGATTATGTAATCTATACTAAATGAATGCCGCGTTATAGATGAAAAAGTAAAGGAAATGTATACATTGTACAAAAAAACAAAAGGAAATTCATACAAATAAAAATGAATGCATGCGTGTTGTAAGAATGTGATGGGCATCAAAACTCTATTATTTATATTGACATGTGAGTTAATGATTGCTTTGATATTAAAAATAAATACAATATAAGAGTTTTGTTTAAATAAATCTCTACATGATAAGAATTTGGATATTGATAAACATTCAAATTCACTATCCCATAACATGCGGCACAAAATTTTTGGTAATTAAACATTGAGAATTTCAAACTATATTTTGAAAAATTCAAATGATCTAATAACATGCGGCATATGTTGAAAATTTTCAAAAAAAATTAGTTCTCTCTTTATATAAAAATTTAGGCGGGATTTCATCTTATTTTTTGCTTAGAATTATTTAGGTTCCCTCTTTATATAATAATAGATGATATCAAACATCCATGAAAACACAATTGCAAGCATAACGAATTTTAGATTAATATGGTAGTCATTATCACAAAATCTAAATATACACTACCATTGTGATGCCAAATTTCGCTTGCATCCCACAAGTTTTCAAGACAGTTTCGATCATCATCAAATAGATACCCTATAATAATAAACATATAATGACCCATCGATTACTTTAAACAAAAAGAAGGCAGAGAAAACAAAATCAGCATCCTACACCCAACATTGAAATAAGCATTCCTAAAATAATCCAATGTCATGCAATTTCATGTCTCAAAGCAGCTAAAGTACAAACCATAGGTAAATGCAGGCCCGACTCCAGAGGAAGTTGTTTTCTTTTCATACTATTAACATAGGTGGTTGTTTTCTTTTACATAGGTGGTTGTTTTCTTTTCATACTATTAACACCAATATTAATGTTACTTGGGGGTACAAGAGTGGTCCGTAACATGATTGACGACCCTTTGAACTGCGGTGTGTACCGTTTGCTAGTTCACCTCTCTAAAATTTTATGCAATTGAGCCCACAAGGGGCCTCCATAGTTTGGTAGGCCAAACTAATAGGTTCATCCTATAATAATAAAAAAATAATAATTCCACACAAATAGATTAAAAATACTTTATATGATAACCTTTTTCAAATGTCATCGCGATACGTACATTGAATACCCTCTTTCAAGCTTCAAACGCTCCCCACATAAAACTACACTCATAATAATATTTGATATCATAGTTTGTATCATCTCCCGCATCACCTTGTGCCTCTTCCTAAATATCTTAATCCTATGCTCACACTCGAATGAACTAAAAGAAGGACTAAACTCAATACTCAACCATTTGCGCATAGGGTAAACAATGAATAATCAAATGCATTATGCTCATCAAGTAACGACAACATCATGCAATGTGCTAATACTAACATCCTTACAAACGAATGATCAACCTCAAATGTTCATTCATCATTAAACAAGTATTGCCTTTTCTAATGCGGGATGTCACCTTCCATAACTGTTTCAGGGAGACCATCGTTTATTTTTTCATACTCATTATCAATGAACTTATGCAACGACAATCGAGTAACATTTAAGAGTGAAAAGTGGAGCACGAGATTGAGATTCATCGAGCACGTGTCTGTCACCAATAATTAAACTCAAACTCGAGCATGTTATTTTCTAACTTGGAGTATCATAAGTCGATCGAATAATCCAATGCAATAAGTTTTACCTCAAATGTTACATATAAATGCATAGTGGATATTATAAAATTAAAATTAAAATTGCAGATACCTTAGTATTGTGTTGGTTAGTTATGAAAATCAATGCAATCAAGTATTAAGAAAATGGTGAAACAACGCTTGGAAACTTTCATATCAATTTACGAGAATAGGAAATTAACATGATTATTGTCTTGGGGTTGTATTCCCATATCAAATTAGAAACCCAATATAGATTAGAGTTCCTTACTTTATGCTAATTAAATTAAATCCCAAGAGCTATAATTGTCCTATTAAAGTGCATTGTCCAGATTCCATGTCACAAACAATTCACCATATAATCATCTATTTATAGCATAGTTGGTTTGGACATGCCATTCACGCTAACCAGTTCAGTTGTCTATTTCATATCTAATTTACAAAATGCGGACAACTAATATGAACAAAAACATTTGTGTTGTTCTATTGGACATGTGACCATTCGAGATAAATAATGTTGATCCTTTCAGATAAAAAATCCTCCCTTTGCCCCTGCTCTCATAGTAGAACCATTTTAAATTTCCATTTCATACATACAACTTGATGATATCCCCAAAATTATTGAGGTAATGTTAACAAGTTTGAGTTTTTAGTGAAAGTTAATCGAGATGAAATTCTAATTTTCTTTGGCCACTTATACTTGGAAAATACTTTATTTTCTCTCACAAAGTTGGTAAAAACATTTTTATGCCTAGTCAAACTATACAATTTTCGTGTAGTTCGAATTTTAGGGAAACTCATAAAAAATCACTTGGAAAATGAATTCACACCAACAACATCAACAATAAGGCAAATACCAAGTCAACGACTCGATATTGCTCAATTTTCTCTCGTATTTTAGGGAAATTTTAGGAAATACCAAGTCCAACCGTGCAATTTTTGTGTAGTTCGAATTTTAGGGAAATTCATAAAAATTACTTGGAAAATGAATTCACACCAACAACATCAATACCAAGTCACCAGCTCAATTTTGCTCATATTTTTCTCTCGTATCAGGTTTCTACATTCCTCATCAGATACCATTCAAAATTGGATTTAGCTAACTATAGACATTTTCTATATCCATACATCTCCAAGTTCTACCATACATAAGAATAAAATGAATACTACCACAATTCAAATCAGTAGAAGCCAAGAACACCAAATTCTGAGAAATTTAGAAAAATGAAACCTACACAAATGATTCATCATAGAACAAAGAATGTTCAAATCAACGGTAATTATATTACCTAGTAGAAGCCCACAACTCCAATTCGCAGTCGTCGTCCGCGGAATGTCATTCGAACACCGGTGGTAGCCCACAACCGTCACCAGTGATAGCCCACAACCGTCATCCTCGGAATGACGTCGTCCACGTCCGAACACCGGGCATCCCCAGAATGTCATCGAGGCCCACGTCGTACACGTCCGTTGGTTGTCGTCCTCGCCCACCACTCATATTTAGGGCTCGACGGATTTTTAGAAAATGGTAAAATGAGTTCATTCCAAGTGAGTCCATCTGTTAATGCTGATTTATAGAAGGATAAATTAGACATTTCCTGTCCTATCATCGCATTTAGTCCATGTTAATAAATGCTTGATTTGTTTCACAAAATAGCATCTCATAATCTTAATATTAGACAAAATGTTGACGTGTAAAGTGGGTTGGATTAATCTGTCCAATCCCATCTTCAAGTGAGCCCTTAACAAATTATTGTATCAAACCCAATACATTTTGTGCAAGCAAATACGGCCCAATACAATTATGATGGTGATTGAGAGTGGATCAGGCTTTTCTCATGGGCAATCACTACGCCCATCCCACACCGCATGTCCAATTTCGAAACGACAACTCCTATTTTCCTTTTTTTTTTTAAATAA